TCAGGAGTCATCTGAGTCTTCACACATTCATCTGACTTGTATCATTCATCTTGTGACTGAGCAGAAGGTTCCTAATTTTACTGCCATCAATGTAGCAGCAGTAGCCAGAGATGACCTTTCCCGATCTAGGCACCTTTGAACACTTGGCACCAGGTTCAAGGGAACAGTTTCTCTGAAAGTATCATTTGCTTCCTAGACTTGGGACTTTAACCCCAAGCCTATGAAAGTGCTTGACACCCCTTTGGAGTCTCACCCACATTTTTTGATGACTCAGGTAGGTCCTGTGAAATGCAGTTCAAGAATGCAGTGTTTATCATAGCATGGCAGTCAGCATGCTGTACTAGATAAATTGGTAGTGTAGTGGACATGGGATCACTATGACCTAGGTTCAAATCCCCAAATCTATTTGACTTTGGGCAAATCACTTAACCCTTCTCTATGGAGATAGCACCTACCCCACAGGGCTATAACGAGTACAAAATAAGAAAATAGCATTAAAGTGCCTTGTAAACTTTAATGTGGTGGATAAAAGTTAGCTAGTATTACCAATACTGACATCACATGATTTTGAAGACCTTCTCCATGCTGGTTGCCTTTCTCTCAATATGGATTAATAATCCCCAACCTGGAATGTTCGGGCAGATCCATGGCTAGATTTCAAGGGAAACCATGAACTTGGAATAATGAAAAATACATCTTTATTTTGATAAATATTTTGTTTCCCTCATAACTTTTCTATTATATTTTATGCATTTAAAATCCTTATTCTAAGCATTCACCAGAATGCTTTAAATGTTCTATGACACACATAAAAAAGTTTTAAAACACCTTGCTAAAGCTTATTCACCTCCTTTCTAACATATGAAACTCAGAACTAAACAAATGCTCTAGATAGCAATTAAAGGGAGACCAACTTCTCCTAATTCCCAGATTCTTTGCCTTGCTAAAAGCAGTCTATGTGTGCATGTCCTACCTTTGATACACATCGTGATTGCAATCCACTAAAATGATTGGACCCTTTCCAGACAAACTTCTGTCTCCCTAGTTTTGAACTTCTAAGTTTATTTTTTAATCCATGTGTTAGACTTTCCAATGTTCTAGCCTGTCAGATTTTTTTTTTAACAAGAGTACTGTAATTCATTGAGTTAATTATGATCACAAACTTGTTGCCATTGCAATTCTACTAAGCAATTATTCCTCTACCTAAGGCATCAATGAAATTCTTAAAAGCACAAGGTCAAATATTGATCATTGGCTAGCTCCACTGGGGAGCTCTTGTGTTTCTATCACATCATCATTGACTACTTTGGGAATCCTATCATTCAAACATTTCTGACCCCTCCAAATTCCACAAGTACCTCATCTGCATCTCTGCATCTTTTCCACAAGAATAGCAAAAGAAATTTTTTTTCAAATCTAGTTCAATACTATATGCAGCATTACTCCAACACTTCTGTTCATTATCCCTGCCAAAAAAAAGAGGAAATTCATTTAGTCTACTACAAACTATTCATGATGAAGCCATTTTACAGCCTTGTGATAACCACTTTCTTTTCCAGATATTAACTAATAATCTCTTTAATAATATGATCTAAAATATACTTCTTATAAAAGTTGATTTGGTATTCTATAGACTGGACTGACTTCCCTCTTTTGAAAATGGGGAGCAGAACATTTTAATTGCAAGAATAGTTTAAAAGCAATGGAGCATAGACACTAACATAGGGGGGTAGGTTAAAGGGAAAATCTTGCACTTAAAGAGTAAGTAAATGAGAGTCATTAAAGCCCATTTCACATTGTTGGAGGAGGCATATATTGAAAATAAGGGACAAGGTCTTATACTTTGCTTTGTCTGGGGCATCACTGGGAATTTAATAAACTCCATTATATGAAAAGAAATAGTTATCCTTCTATAAACCCCATGAGATAGGATGTGAATCCCCCAGAGCAGCCAGCACCCAGATTGGTGATGGGAAGATAGAGAATAAGAGACTGAATAACCAGGCCTTTGGAATGCTAAAGCCTCAGACTTGATGACTCAGAACTCAGAGAAATTTCTATCACATGATACTTCCTCCACTTGAGATTGCTTCCTTTATGAAATGATAACTCTAAGCATGATGCATAGCAGAAAAAAAATGCAGAAAGTGATAATACCTACAAATGAAATAACACAAAAACAAGGTAGAGGAGGGAGTTTAAATCTGGTATTCTGAAATCTCTAACTTCAGGAAGGACATATGATAAAGAGGACCAAGTAAGGCTGTAAATAGCCCAGGAATTGGAGAATGGGATTCAGGAAAAAGGCTAAAGGGTTGGAGAAAGAAATAAGGAAGAAGGACAAAGTCACAGAAGGTTTACAGGAAGAGAAGATCACAAAATAATATTACTTAAACAAAGAGGCTAGGATGGTGAGAATGGTAAAAGATTGTAAAAAACATGTTGTATAGGGGGGAAAGAAGGGTCGAAAGTGCAGGGGGAAATAAATCAAAAAATAAAATGTAAAGGCATATTAACATCTTAAGTAAATTTAAGAAATTTCAGATAAAGCAGATAAAGAGGAGGGAGGGAAGAAGGAAGGAAAACAAGAGAAAAGGATGGAGGGAGGAAGGAAGGAAGGAAGGAAGAAAGAAAGAAGGAAGACTAAGAGGGAGGGAGGGTCAAAAATTTACATAGCAGTACTATTTCTTCTGGTAACCAAGAATTAAAAAAGAAAAAGTATGTGTCTATTGATTACGAACATGAATGAATTTTGGTATGTGAATAAAATGGAATAGAAATGTATCATAAGAAATTATGAACATGAAGAATTTGGAAAAATTATGGCAAAACCATTAGTAGATGCAGAGAGAAATAAGGATGAGAAAAACAATATACATAATGAAAAGGTAGAAAACTGAAATAAAATGAATGATAAATAATTAAAATAACAAATATTAGCTCTAGAGAAGATCTGAGGAAAAAATCACTACCTTCAAAATAGAGATGAGGGACATTAGGTATGGCTCTATATTATTAGATATCATACATACATTGGTAGGCTTTGTTTTTTTTCTTTTAAAATTGTTGTTCCAAGACAAGACTCATGGAGGTAGGGTGAGTTGGATAAGAACTGAATGTGATATGAAAGTTAATTTTTCAAGTGTGTCTGACTCTTCATGAACTCATTTGGGGTTTTCTTGGAGAAGATAATGGATTGGTTTTCTATTTCTTACTCCAGCTCATTCTACAGATGAGCTACACAGCTAGTCACTGCCTGAGACCAGATTTGAACTCAGGAAGAGGAGTCGTCCTGATTCCAGGCCTAGCACTGCCCCAGTTAGCTGCCCAGTGATATAATAAGTTATCCATAAAAAGCACTTTTAAAAGAATAATCTGGAATAAGCTCAACGAAAGGTTGTGGAGTAGTTGCCATGATGGTCATCTAGGTTTTCCTGGTCCCTCAGGCTATTATTTCCATCATTTACAAAAGATAGGTCTATGGATGTGGTTTTGACT